TTTTTTTGTCTTTTAGAGACAGGGTCTCACTAAGCAGTTCAGCTGGCCTTGAGCTCACTTTGTAGCCCAGGCTGGTCTCGAACTCCCAAAGATCCTCCTGCCTCAGCCTCCCGAGTGCTGGGATTACAGGCATGTGCCACCACGCCCAGTTTGCCCAGCATTCTTATCACTTTGTTTTGTGTTGTTTTGAGACAGGGTCTCACTATGTAGTTCAGGCTGGCCTTGAACTCACTATATAGCCCAGGCTAACCTCAAACACAGGGTGATCTTCCATCCTCAGCCTCCCAAATACTGGGATTACAGGTGTACCCCACCATGGCTCTTACCACTTTCCTTTTTTTTTTTTTTTTTGGTACCGGGAATTGAACTCAGGACCTTGCACCTGCCAGGTAAGCACTTATGCCACTGAGCTATATCCCTGGCCCTCTTACCACTTTCCAAAACAGCTCTGGACATTTTGTTTTCTGAGACATTTTTACTTGCACTGAAGTAAAATAATAGATTCAGTGTCCTGGATTGCTTCAAGATATTTACCTTTAAAAAAAAAGACATTTACCTTTCCTGGTCATTTTGACTTTGGGGAAGAGCCAGAAGTCACATAGTATCTGCTCCAGCAAGTAAAATAGATGAAGATACACTTTAATGTTTTTAATGTTTTTACAAGCATGCTGTGTTTTTTTGTTTTGTTAGCCAATACACATTTTATTCACCCTATCCCTTTTTTTTTTTTTTTTTTGGTCTTTTTGAGACAGGGTCTTGCTATGCAGTTCAGGCTGGCCTTGAGCTCACTTTGTAGCCCAGGCTGGCCTCAAACTCACAACGATCCTCCTGCCTCAGCCTCCCGAGTGCTGGAATTACAGGCATGCGCCACCACGCCCGGCCACCATATCCCTTTCATCAGAATACTTTTCTTGTATGTTGAAATAGACCTCAATATTTCTTACAATATGCAAAATTCAGCCAAAGGATCTACGTGAAACATTCTGATATTGCATACTTTAGTTTTGTAAAACTAGACACTCACATAACTGATTTCATGACTAATTAATGGATCACGCACATATTGTAAAAAAACATTTTGTGCCCTCTACTGTGTTGGTGGCTTGAGTATACCTGCTTGATATACTCAGAAAGAGACCAGCTGGTCTGCTAAATACTGTTCGCTTGAATAGGAACGTCTTAAAGTGGCAGGAATGCATCTTAGACTTTCATTTCTGATACTTTTTGATGGGAAGAGTTTTTAAGAGTGCCGGTTATGGCCAGATGTACTGAGGATCCACTGAGATTATTCCATGGCTAGGTCAATTATCGGGTTGGAATTGATGGCAAATTTCTACAAAGCTTTCTTGAATGCGTTCTTGACAAGATGGCATGTTCCAAATACTTAACTTTGGTCTGAGAAGCAAAGCTTTTCTTTGGAAGTTTTATGCCTTCAGCAATGAACCCTGGAGTGTCTCGCCTTAGCGAGCTCCCGTCCACTCCCGACAGGGGCCAGCATTTTTCCTTGCTCCAAGCATGCTGTTTCGTTGGATCACACAATGTATTTTTTGATCATATCTCATAAAGACATTCATGAAAGAGGACTTCTAGAATTGCTTCAGCAAATGGCAAGAAATGATGGGATAAGTATGTTCAAATCAAGGGAAGCATTTTGAGGGTGATTAATTGAAACATTGATTGTATATTTTGACCAGCCCCTGTATATGACCCTTTTTTTTTTAAGTACTGGTGACTGAATCTAGGGCATTTGCTCTAAGGTATGTCCACAGCATATTTTTTACTTTTTACTTTGAAACAGGGTCTTAAGTTCATTATTTGGCTATGGCTCTTTTTATTTTTTGACCAAAACTTTTTTTTTTTTTTTTTTTTTTGAGGCAGTGTTTCCTTACGCAGTTCAGGCTGGGCTTAAACTCATTTATGTAATTCAGGCTGGCCTCGAAATCACGGTGGTCCTCCTGCCTCAGCCTCCCGAGTGCTGGGTTTACAGGTGTGCACCACCACACCCAGCTGGCCTTGTAATTTTTTAAATGCTGCAGTTAGGTTAGGACTTGCCATCTACTGTTAATGAACCCCCCTTTCAAAGCTATTAAAAGGCAAACAAAAATATGGGCCCTTAAGCACCGAAATTAGAGATGATGCCCTCTCCTTAGTTTTTAAAAATGTCACTATACTGTAGAAGTGTAAGAGCATTTTCCCGTGATAAGGATTTTGGAGTTTTATGAGGGGAGAGCACACTAAATGTCAAATTCTCTACACCATCTCTCATTCCCTTTGTTCCCCTGCAAGGGCTGAGTCAGCCTGTTGGGTGACCCTGGCCTGCCCTGGGGGAGGGGGAAGGCCGCACAACTGAGTCCTTTGAGCTTCTCCCCTGCCCCGAGGGCAGCGCAGCTGGAAAAGGGCCCATTTCTATGGGGGAACAATGGTGCCAGCCAGCTGCCGGAGAAACAGGACTGAACGGCCTGCCCTGGCCCGGCCTGGGTGCAGAAGAGCGCCCTTTGCACCTGAGCGCTCCGCTGCACTTCTGCCAAGGTCCGAGAGCAAGTGATGAGCAAATCCCAAAGGAATGGAATGTATTCTCAGTGGCAAACTTCGTGCACGGAACCCATGCGTGAAACTCCCAGCCAGGGGACCTGAAGAACGTGAAATTGAGCCACCCAGTGTACAGGTGGGAAGCAAAGGCTCCCAGAGAGACTGGTACCTTGGCAGAGGCCCCACAGTAAATCAACAACACAAACAAGATCCCAGGTTCTCTGACGCAGCAGATCCGCCAAGTGTGCCTTGTGCAACCTTTACAAACATGCCCCAGTTTTGCTGCTTTCATGAAGTGTCTGGTTGACACATCAGATAGCATCTGATTTTCCTGATCACTGGAATTTGAAACAGGAACTCAAGTATGAATGTCTTTAGGGCAAGCAGACTTGTGGACTCCTGCCTGTCCTGATTCCTTCCAGCCAAGGTTTACTCTGACACAGTAGCTGCCTGAGTTCAAAGGCTACCTGTAACACTCCAAGTGTAGGTGACCTTGGGTAAATAACCGTCACTATGGTAGTGGCCCCCAGAATCACCCACGATGTTTCACCGATGGTGTGCTTGCCCTGTAGAGTCAGTCTCCTCTCACGATGAATAGGCTGAGCTGTATAAACAATGGAGAATGTAAAAGTGACAGTCTGCCTTCTGAGGCCAAGTCCAAACAGACACGGCAGCCTCTGCCTATCTCTCTTGGCTCACTTCTCTGCGGGGAGCAGCTGCCCTGCAGTACGGTAGGGGCGGGGGCCCTCATGGCAAGGGTCTAAGTCTGTTTTTTGCTGCTATAACAATGCCATAGACTGGGTAAGTGGAAAGCAATAGAAGTTTATTGTTCATCTGACTCATGGCTCTGGAAGCTAGGACACCCCAACTGAAGGGGCCCTGTCTAGGGAGGGCTCTTTTGCTGCATGGGAGATGGCAGAAGGTGTCACATGGTGAGAGCGCACAAGAGAGTGATCGAGAACGGGCTGAACTTGTATGTATAATAAACCCAGCTTGTGACAATGGCCCCACTCCCACATCAGCCCTCAGGATCTAATTCCCACTTAATGATCCCACCTCTCAACACTGTTATTTGTTTGTTTGTTTATTTGAGAAAGGGTCTTCCTATGTAGTTCAGGCTGGCTTTGAACTCATGATGTATCCCAGGCTGGCCTCAACTCTCAGGGATCCTCTTGCCTCAGTCTTCTGAGTGCTGGAATTATAGGCCACCAATTCCTGGCTCAACACTGCTATAACAGCAATGAAATATAAACATGAGTTTTTGGAGGGGACATTTAAACCATAGCCGCAAGTAACAGACCCTTGCCAACAGCCATTTGCAAGCCCCGTGCCCAAGCTACCTTGGAATTGGGTTCCTTAGCCCCAGGCCAGATTTAACGTGACTGCAGTCTCGGTCTACATCTTCTTTGTTTGTGTTTTGAGACAGAGTCAGGCTGCCTTGAGCTCACACAGTAACCCAGGCTGGCCTGCAACTCACAGGGATCCTCCTGCCTCAGCCTCCCAAGTGCTGGGATTGCTACCATGCCCAGCCCTGGCCCACATCTTGATTGGATTCTTGTGAGATGTCCCAGGTAAGAATCACCCAGGTAATCTACTACTGAATTCCTGACCCACAGAAAATAGGAAAGATACTAAATGTTTATTGTTTTAAACTATTAAGTTTTAGGGCAATAATAATTAATATGATCATATTGCCTTTCCTTATTTTTAAAACTAGAAAGGCTGAAAGTACCTGCTTCATATAATCATAGTGTGGACTCAGGAAGATGGGGTGCAGGAATCAGGGTGGGCTCACAGCAAACCCTTGGCGAGGGGGAAACAGCAGTGCTGAAATGGAACAGGGCTTTCATTCACTGAGAGCAGAGGTCAGGGGAGGGCCAGGAGGAAAGAGGAAGCAGCACCCCGTCTCCTTCTTCTCCTAGCAATTCCACTCTGAATTCAGCTCTGAAATACCCCTTCAGAGGACAGAAGTCATGCAGGGAGCCCCAGTCTCCCTCCTCTCCCTGGAAGGCAGTGTGGAACTATATGTCACTCTGAGCATCCCTCTTGGAGGTCTACGGCTCTGCCATCCCTGCCCCAACCCTGGAACTTAGCAAGAAACCTCTTGCTTTTTTGCTAGGAGGCTGAGCCACCGCATTTTCTCCATCTCAGCACTTTTCAAGGATGTTCCCTGACCCCTGGAAGCCAACCCAGCAAAAGATTGCTTTGCTCCTTAATCCATGTCTGGAACCAGGTTTAAATTTTAACTCGGCTACTTGGTCATGCCCTTTGAAAATCACTCAGCCTCCTGAGATTCACTTCCGCATCTGCCAAACAGAATCAGTGAGTTTTGCTTCTTGGTTGTTGGGGGAAGAAATAAAACAAGACAGTGAGGAAGGAAATCTTTCTTGATTGAAGTAATAAACTGTAACCTACCTCCCTGAGGTTCTACTCTGCTCCCTACCCTGCCCCAGTCCACCCACAGCTAGAGGCACTTAACTCTCATATGCAGGTTTTGTCCTGTTCTGCTGGAGTCCAACTTTGTTTTTGTTGTTGTTGTTTGTTTTGAGACAGGGTCTTGCTGTGTAGTTCAAGCTGGCCTTGAACTCACTACGTAGCCCAGGCTGGCCACAAATTCAGAGGGATCCTCCTGCCTCAGCCTGCTGAGTGCTAGGATTGCAACTTTTTTGTGTGTGGTTTTTTTGGTACTGGGAGTCAAACTCAGGACTTTTTTTTTTTTTTTTTCTCCCGATGCTGGGAAGCCCAAGCCTCACACATACAAGAGCTCTACCAAAACTACATTTTTAAAAAGGATTTTTTTTCCCGATACTGGGAATCGAACTTATGACCTTGCACTTGCCAGGCAGGCGCTGTGCCACTGAGCTAAATCCCCAGCCCCCAAACTCAGGACTTTGTGGTTGCCAGGCAGGCACTTCTGCCTGCTGAACATTATCCCCACCCTGTTTTTTGTTTTTAAAGAAAAAATAAAACAAAATTTCAAAACAAGATAATACGAGGGTAGCAATGGTTAATACATCGCATATTGTTGTCTTTAAATTAGTTACTCAGGGTACAAGATATCAACCTTTAATTGTCCAAACAATATTAGCACAAACCTTTCTTTTCAATCAACTAAGAGAAATTAGTAATATAACTGTCTTGACTATCATATATATATATATATATATTTTTTTTTCTTTTTGCTTTCCCCTTCCTTCCTTTCTCCTTTCCCCCATCCCAGTTTCTCTTTCCTTTTGAAGTTTCTTCCCACTTTGTTTTGTTTTGTTTTGTTTTTGGTATTGGGAATTGAACTCAGGGCCTCACGCTTGCCAGGCAGGCATTGTGCTGCTGAGCTACATTCCCAGCTCAGAGTATACATTTTGGATCTTATTACTCTTTCAGCTTCTTACACTAGGGAGACAATACAATGTTTACCCATGGGCATCTCGTTTATTTCGCTTATGAATATGATCTCAAGTTGCATCCATTTACCTATAAGTCTCCAGTTTATCTTTCTTTATGGCTGAGTAGTACTCCATTGTATAAAAGGACCACATCTTTTTTATCCATTCCTCGGTTGATGGGCATTTGGGTTGTTTCCAAGATCTAGCTATTACAAATTGTGTACTATAAACATGGGTGCACATATATCACTGTGGTATGATGTTTTCAATTCTTCTGGGAAGATACTCAGAAAGGGAAGAGCTGGATCAAATGGGACCTCCAATCCTAGTTTGTTGAGGAATCTCCACACTGATTTCCACAGTGGTTGCACCAGTCTGCACTCCACCAATAGTGAAAAAGTGTTCCTTTTTCCCCACAGCCCCTCTAGCATTTATACAACTGTGTTTATTTATTTATTTATATTTATTTATTTATTTTTACAACTTCTTTTTTTTAATAGAGACTTTAAAGATATTACTCTTTTCAGTCCAGGATTCAGCAATAACTAGCAAATGTGTCCTGGTACCTTCTTGTTATGGCCAAGCTTAGTTTAAAATAAGTTATTTTTAAATCACCACAGTAATAAAATCACATTATATAATATTGCTCCTTAAATTTGGGGCTGGGGATTTAGCTCAGCAGCACAGCACCTGCCTGGCAAGTGCAAGGTCATGAGTTTGATTCCCAGTACCAGAAAAAAAAACTCCAAAAAGAAAAAAAAATTTGGATACACAGGACAACCCACTTTTGGAACCCTTCAGTCTCTCAGGAGTTACTCTTTTTTTTTTGTCTTTTTGAGACAGGGTTTCTCTCTGCAGTTCAGGCTGGCCTTGAGCTCACTTTGTAGCCCATATTGATCTCAAATTCACAACACTCCTCCTGCCTCAGCCTCCTAAGTGCTAGGATTACAGGTGTGCGCCACCATGCCCAGCAGGAGTTAGGTCTAAATGTTTCCTACTCTTAACCTTCATGGCCCCTTAGAATTTATTCTTGGATTTTGGGGGACATGAACTCAGCATATCTGACATCTAGCAGGTTGGGAGTTATATTTCTCCTATAAGAGTAGATTCACTAATTCTCGTCACAGAAAAAGAATCTCCAGGCCCAAAGAAAGGCTGTATAAGGGCTAAAATGAGGAGGAGGCCCTCCACAAGCCAGAAAAGAGCTCTCACCTGGAAGTTTTTTTTTCTTTTTTCTTTTAGATGGTCTCACTATGCAATTCCAGCTGGCCTTGAGCTCGCTTTGTGTCCGGCGCCGTTTTAGTAAGAACTTAGTCGCAAATGAGTCAGCTTTCAATGTTTATTATGTACAGCGCTGTTGGATCTGACAAGATCCTCCACCCTCATCTATCCTTCCCTTCTCTCCCTTTGGGGGCAGAGACGCACACTTATA